TAAGGACCATGCTTCAAGCTGTCGAAACTGAATTACTCACCAATGTCGCCGTCTGGAGCTCCCGGACCTGACGCTCGGACTTGTCAAGGCTGTGCTGAATAGCCCTGATTTGGTCAAGATAAGTCTCCCAGGGCGCGTCGCGTGCCTTCAGCAAGCTGGATTTAATTTTAGAAGCGGAGATTCGAGCCCTAGAGAAATGTTCATAGTCAGTTATACAGACGGGAGGGCAAAGTCAAAGTGCGCCCGTACTGCAGAAGGTGGCATTCTTCATCCGCCAAATCTAACTGGTTACGGAGACATTCGAATTTCGCGCGCGCGAGAATGTCCGCAGCAACTGTGATCGCGAAGATGAGTCGTGCGAGGCGGGTGGACGGGAGTTTGTAATGGACGGCGTAGATAACGAGTGACATGCCGAGGACCCCGAGAGCAACATAACGAAGGATGGTGCTCGGGATAAAGAGCAGGGCCCAGAATACAATGGCCAACTGCAGTTGTGTGGTCACGTTATCGTGCATCCAAATGCGTTCTTGGGATCAGATGGGGTCAAAGGAGATGATGTGGCCCCAGCCTGCCTTCGGGAGTTTTGGAGTCAGCACCACGATGGGCGTACAACGCGTTGTTCGGCTCCATTGGTAAGACTGGCTGTACTACAGCCCTTGTATTGAAAGCTGTTTGAAAGCTGTTGCAAAGCTGTCCAAAGCCGAAAACTGTTCAAACGCTGTTCGAAAGCTGTCCAAAGCGGTTCGACGCCCGAAAATGTTTGAAAGCTGTTATCAAAAGCGGTGCCAGGCAATAGTATGACCGTCTTCTTCGTTGTTTATTAGCACCCCAGGGCCACAAAATCTGCTTTAGAGCGGAATCTGGGAGTGTGGTGCGTGGTTCAGCGCAGGAAGCAATTGTTAAAGTTCCAAGTCCAACTTCGCACTGTCAGGCTGCTGATAGCTGTGTGAAGGCTACTATTAATGCCCGCTAACTTCAAGTAGTGGGTCCTGATGAGCCCTAATGGTGTAGAGCGTCCGCCCAATTTTGAACTCTCCCGCGGCAAACAGAGCCAAAGATGAAATTCTCGCTCCTCATTGGCTCTTCGTTCGGCCTTGAGGGCGAACGTACCTTACTAAGGACCGGACGTGAGGTGGATCCTTCTTCGTACCGGGTCAACGGCGGAATATCGGATGGAGAGGGTTGCCTTCCTGAAAAGTGGAGATCCCGTGCGCCGGAAGTGGGATGCCGAGACTCCGACAATCGGCAAGACTTTATTTGCGGCACGCCGAAACTGAAAGCATCAGGGTTCGATTGTCCCCATGTCATCCTGCTAAGAGTTCTTCGGAAACCGATCGTCTCAGGAGACAGATCAGTGGGTCGTTGAGGAATTAGCTTCCTGTTCACTTTTTTGCCGGGTCGCCGGAACAATAGATGGGAACCGCGCCGAACGCGGCAACGAAGCCGGTTCGGAGGACCCTACATGTATTTCCATCGCACCCTCACTCCCCGCTTTTTATCATACGCTTTACACCTATCCAATGTGCCCCGCCGTCCCTTGCACTTTCATTTAGCTTCCCTACACTGCTTTCTCTTTCCCCCGTGCTAGCTCTCCGTCTGCCTTTCATTGCCGTACATTTGCTTACTTGCATTCTAGCGCTCTCGACCGTTCATCCAACAAACGAAGCATCGTGCCTTCGGTACACGCCGCCGGGCGCATCATGCATGCACCGAGTAGAGGCCAAAGAGTGGGATGGGCACGGACGGTGCGCGCGCATCTTCTTCCCCTGCGCTCTCCGCGCTTCTCCCTTCCCCCCACCTTTTCAGCCCGCTGCCTTCATCATCGTTCCTCCTCCGCCACCTCTCTCATACGCGTCATGATCTCCGTCGATTTAAAATAGGAAACACAATCTAGACACTCGATCTAGACTTCAGGCTGAGAGGTGGACAAATGGTGGCCGCGGAATAAAATGCAGGAGAAAACGATTTGCGAGCTCAACGGTGAGCTAGCGTGAATATTCCTCGCTTCCTTGACTCTCCCCTCCTTCCACCCAGATACGCGTTTCCACTCGACTGCAACCCGAATCTACGTCTGCTTGGGCCTATTTGCCCAAGGCAGTGCGCCCTAACCTAACGCCGGGTCTCGATCGCACCGCCATCTTGTGCTGTGCACACACCTCTTGCTCTTGACTCTTTCCTCAACGACGATGGCCACAGCGACGTACGCACCCCCACCCGGCCCCCCGCCCGCACACGCCTTCCACGGCCACACGACGCAATACGCGCCCCCGCCCGGCCCGCCGCCGCCACACCTGCAGCAGACGTACGCCCCGCCGCCCGGCCCGCCCCCGCCCTCTTCCTTGCCGGCGCCCCCACTCGCCCCACCACCTGCGCCGCAGACCACAGCAGACCTAGCCGCTTACATCCTGTCTTGCCTCCCCTTCCTCGCGCGGCACGGCTGGCTCCGCCTCCCCCTGCCCCCCGACCTCTCCGCGCGCTACAGCGCCCTCCTCGGCGCCTCTTCATCCTTTTTCGGCTTACCCCCCACAGCAGAGGCGAAGACGAAGTTTGCTGCGCCGAGCGGCGCGGCCGCGTCCGACGAGGGCTTCGCCGCGATCCCGGGTGAGAAGCAGCTCGTCACGCTGCGCCGCCTCGGCTCCACACCCCTGCCGGAGGACTTGAAGGGCGCATCGAAGGACGCGTGGGCAGACACCGGCGCCTTGTTCAGCGCCGTCATGGAGGGCATCGCCGCGAGCCTCGGGCTGCCCGCGGACATTTTCGCAGGGATGGCCGCGGAGGCGGATGTGGCGAGCTTCGACCGCGAGACGGGCAGGGCGTCGAGTCTCCTGCGGCTTTTCCGGTACGAGCGCCCCGCGGCAGACGACCTCGACTTCGGCGTCGGGGTGGGCGCAAGGAAGAAGGTCGTAGCGGAGGCGCACCGCGATCTCGGGCTACTAACAATCGTGGTGGGCGCGTCGCCCGGGCTGGACGCGCGGGACCTCGTGACGGGCCAGTGGGTCAGCGTAGAAGATGCACCGAGCGGCGCTGGGAGTGCGCCGAGCGGCGGGCTGACGGCGACGATCATGTCCGGCCAGACGCTCACGTACCTCACGCAGGGGCTCTTCGCCTCGGGCGTGCACCGCGTCTCCGTCTTGCCCGCGCGCCCGGACACGCAGGATGGCGCGTTCCGCTTCTCGCTCGTGTTCGCGCTGCGCCCCGCGGCGGGTGCGCTCATCGACACGCGGGAATTTGAGAAGAGTCCACTGGTGCGTCTTCTCTCTCCTCCTTATTATTTCTTTCTTTCTTTCTTCCGAATCGCTCTATCCCGCGTTCGCCTCTATTCTGTTCCATTTCGCTCTCGATTCTTCCTTCCTTCGCGCGCTATGCGTCCTTCTTGTCTATTCTCTCGTCGTGCGATGGCGCTGCCTTACCCCCGCCCGTCCACTTGCCTCCCCGCGCGAACGTCCTGTTTACGCCTCGCACTCCATTTTAGTCTCAGCTTCTAACCCACGCGTTTTGTTTCAGATCCCGCCCTTCCCCCCCGCGCCCCTCGCCTTCTCCTCTCCCTCTCCCGCTCCGTCTTCTACCCCCAACTCAACCTCTTCTACCTCCCCTAATTCGCAAGCCGAAAGCAACTTCCCGCACTGCTCCATGCACGCCCAGCCCGCCGCGGACCTCTTCCGCGCGATTGCGGCACGGCACTGGAACGTGAACGTCGCGCCGGAGGTGAGGGAGGGGCAGAAGAGGAGGAGGGAGGAGGCGGCGCGTGCGGGGGTAGGTGAAGCGCCGGAGGGGGGAGCGAGCGGGGAGAAGGAAGTGGAAGCGATTGGGGAGGGAGAAGGGGCGCCAAAAGAGTGAAGGAGGCGAGACGGACAGGGTGGCGCGAGCCGATGTGTGTTAGAAGCGACCCGATGTGCTAGACAAGCGGCCGGCGGGAGGGGGGATACAGTAGAGTGGGTGGGTGAGATAGAAGGGCGATGAAAGGCAATGTATCTAACCTGTAGTTTTCTTGGTTTAGTGGACAGCACATACGCAACTTGTAGGAACGCGGACTCTTCAGACGCGATAATTGGTTCAACTTCCGCAGTACCGCTCGATTCCTCCCGGCGTAATTTGAGTACTCCCATTCTCCCTGAAATCCCACACTGGCAGTGGGAGCGGCAGAAGGAGAAAAAAAATTGATCTGCTCGTGCTGATCCAAGCTCCCTATCCGCGGTGAATTGTCCCAGTAGTGTCTTCGACTTTTGAATTTCCAAGAGCTTTTATCTCGTTCCCGCCGGCGAAAAAGGAGGGCCCCAGGAAGGGATAAAATAATGAATAATCTCGTCGCGGTTCTGTTCTCGGCTATTAAAATTTAAAACTAGTCGACGAATCATAACCTAGAATCTGCTATGGGACGATTATAATTATCCCTGCTATGGGACGATTATTTGCCATTCTGGTATCCACGGCCTGGCACACAATCTGGAACATCCGGAATGATAAGGTTCTAAACAACCCACACCGTAACATTACAGATGTTGAGATTCACAACAGATGGCTGAAATCTGTGAATTCCGCACTAGGACGAGATCGAATCCTCACCAATAAAATGAAATTTGGTAATCTTGCGCTGAATAAAGATCTTGTCCTAAGAACATGGAGTGGTCTACTAATGAACGAAGACGCTCTGCCGGACGATTGGACTTACACAGTGGGGGTTTTAGTGGGTATACAGCCATTGACATTGAACAATCCAAGAAATGGGATAGGATAAATTTATTACGGCTGGAGTCCCACACTATGGTACTTGTGCGTAATGGCATTTCCTCCCTGGACAACTTCCCCGGCATTAACTGGATTTATCTGGTAGACCCAGCGGATGACTTTTGGAATGCTTCTGCAGACTGAATTTCATTATCCCAAACGCTCCAAAAAAAAAAAAAAAAAAAAAAGAATCATAACCTAGAAGTACGAGGGTTGAGCCCACTCTCAACCGCTCGGCGCTTGCCCTTGATCTGAGTTACATCGCTGCATTCGTCGGCCTGATAGCACAGTTGGTAGTGCATCTGTAAGTTGTATGCGTGTGAGGAAATGTTTCGGTAGAAGACTCCTGTTCGATCCGGGGTCGGGTCATTTCCTTTTTTGTCGTGCTCCATAAACGTTTGCCTACAGAGCTCACCGTGAAGCACCCACATTCAAAGACGAATTGGCTTGCTGTTTGATTTTGAACGTGGACCCCGGGGGGTCGATTCCACCCGCAGACATAAAATTCGAGCACAAAAGGCACTTGTGGTTCTACAACCGTCTGCACCCATAGTCTTTCGAATCTGGTGCCGTACATGAATGGCTCATGGCTGAATGAATTGATCGACAGCGAACCTCGAATGAGAATAATGAACAGTCTGGTGACTCCCGCCTATCTATCCCTCAACACCTGAACTTGTGGGCTGGCGTGCTCCACGTCCACGAAGAGCTTCTCAATGCCACTGTGGCTCGATAGGTGTCCTTGAAATGAGGGAAGCCGCTGAATCTGAACGTCCGCGCGGTTCATCTACTAAATCTGTAGTCCGGGCGCGCCCGATAGCTCTATTTCTCGTCAATTTCTGCGAGGATGCATGGGAAATATGAATGAAGTCGTATGCTGATAATTGAAACATTGTTGGCTATTTTCCCTAAGCTACCACGTCTCCGGAAGGATTCGAAGCACGAATTCCCCTGGGTTAAGCCTGTTTCCGCGCAGGCGAGTTGTTTGGGGATTTCGACAGCTTCATTGCCGGCGATTCTCATAGTCTAAAGAGCCAGGCGCAGTTGATGCGATTCCAGCAGTACCATCGTACGATGCAGGCATCGACTTTGCACAGAAATGGGTAATAATTTCTGCTTTGCCTTGCATTAATAGTCGCTGATGAACTGTTGACAAACCTGTCCCCGCAATCAGAGTCGTCCAGCAGGCTGGAGCATAATTGATGATCGCTCACGAATCCCCATTCTTTCCCGGAGGACACCTGCCCAGCTTCAGTTTTATCGTACAGATGCTGAACGAGTTGCGCAGGGCGCCCCATTGTCGACTCGGTGCTTAACATTGGACCGAACTACGGGCGGACGCTTCGCGAGTAGAGGCACAGATTCTTTGTGAACCAGGACACCATCGTCGCCAAGTGAGCAGTATAAGTTGGACTCGGCGAGGCTCGAAATATTCAAGCGAAAGTGGATATGTACTTGACATCTAACCCTTCGCCCGACAGACTCCTTGTGATTTCTTCACATAATTTCCCTAGAGAAGAGTCACTAAATGCAATGCTTTGCAGCGATTATTGTGAGGCTGGGTTCAGAACGCAGACATTGGGTGACCACATCGCTGCCTTCACGCGGGAAGGGAACGTCACATTTGGTTGCGGCATGCCGGTCTGAACTTGTAGCTGTTGTAATTGAACGGCATTGCTCTCAATCTTATTATTTCTCATAAACATCCCGCTCATACAGATATTATTCATCAACTCCACTCTAGTTTTTCTATTCGGCAAACCTCATATTAATACGCACTGCGTAGAACCCCGACATCTGAACCTAACTTCCTCTACCTCGAGCTACCTTTTGCTGACCAGGCTCATCTAACGTGGTCCGTCGATTTAGCATCGCAACCAAGTCATAACCCGATATAAATAATCTTAAAAATGCTTGCCGCTGGGTTCATACGTTTGGGACTGCCGGAATCGCTGCATATGTGATGTAGCCGGAAGTGACCAATTTCCAAAGAGTCTTTGCGAGATGTGGCAGAAAACTTTATCTCAGTTCAACTGTGAACTTTCCATGACATCGTGTAAATTTTCATTCTTCTCTCCGAATTTTTCTCTCCCTTACGCGCACGAGGCTCCTCTCTTTCGTCTACTTAGGGCACCTGTTGGAACTCAAAACTTAATTATGAAACACTGAAACGGTCGCAAGGTTCAGGATTCATGTTGTGGCAATCCAAGATTACTATCATACATGCATTGTCGAACTAGTAGAGGTCGAGACAGACTCATCTGCGTACCTTCGGATCGAGACATTCCACCCATGATGTTCCATGAACAAACCGACTAAAATCCAATTTTGTTGTGCCATCCCTAGAAATGACAAGTGAATTTTGTGGAAAATATAGACCTTTTCGAAGCCACGGCGGAATCCACAGGATGAGTTGAGATTTTGAATCCAATATCCATCCATCTTTGAGTGTTGAACCATCTCCGAATGCTTGATGCGGAGCGCAATTGGGATTGATCTGTTCAGAAATGGTCAGTATGATCATTAACACCAAGAAGAATAGTAGAAACCTCAAACACATGGATTGTGCCTTCCTTAGAGCCACATGCTACCCTCCCGCCATCGTGGGAGAAAGCAACAATGAAAACCGGTGTGCGAGGTCCTTCAAATGGACCAGCAATAACATTCCCAGTTTGTGCATCCCACACACACACGGTTCGGTCCAGGGACCCGGATGCAATCCATTTCCCGTCCTGGGAGAAAGTGACTGAGTTGACATCCCAGCTGTGCCCTTGAAGCGGCACGGGAATCAGGGACCCTGTGTGTGTATTCCATATGCGTACCACGGAGTCGGATGACCCCGACACGACCCGTCCACCGTCAGGTGAGGATGCAAGGCATTTTATTGTCCCAGTGTGCCCTTTGAATGGTCCACAGACAAGTGCTCCTGTTTGTGCCTCCCATACCCGTATCATGCCGTCCCTGGCACCCTCCACGATGTGTTCCCGGTCAGGGAAGAAAGCCAAAGAGAGCTTGACTGCATTGTTACCCCCTTTAAATGTTCTGCTGACAAGAGTAGTCGTTTGAACATCCCATACCCACAGTGTGGAGTCATCGCCACATGCTGCAATGTGTTTACCGTCAGGTGTGAATGAGACTTGGCGCACCCAATCTTCGCCTGCATCAAACGGGCCAACAACTAGGGTGCCTGTGTGCGCATCACAGATGTGCACTGTGCCATCACGCGAGCCAGAGAGAATGTGTTCCCCATCGGACAAGAAAGAGACGGAAAGCACCCAATCTGTGTGTCCTGTGAATGGCCCAGCGACGAGCCTACCCGTGCGTGAATCCCATACCCGGATTGTTCTGTCTTTGGACCCCGACACAATCCGATCCCCATCAGGCGAGAAAGCAATGGAATCGACATCAGAGCTGTGTCCTGTTTGACTGATATTAGAAGGAGACTTGATATATTCCCTGTCAACCTTGGAATCTAGGTGTGCATCCCAAATGCGAACTGTGCAGTCTACTGATCCTGACACGATTCGCCCACCATCAGGGGAGAAGGAGACAGCAACCACAGCATCACTGTGACCTTCAAATGGGCTAGCAACAAGGGTGCCCGTTCGCACATCCCAAACAAGGACTGTTCTGTCGGTGGAGCCAGAGACAATGTGTTCCCCATCGAGTGAGAAAGCGACAGAATTCACCCGATTTGTGTGTCCCGTGAATGGCCCAGCAATAAGGTCACCCGTGTGTGTGTCCCATACCCGGATTGTTTTGTCATCAGACCCTGATACAATCTGATCCCCATAAAGCGAGAATGCGACGCAATTGACCTCACCATCATGGCCCTTGAATAGACCAGTAGAACATGAACCAGTTTCCACATTCCACAGACGTATTGTAGTGTCAGCTGACCCAGAAACAATCTGGTCCCCCTGAGGTGAGAAAGCAACAGACCACACCACTCCAGTATGGCCCGAGAAAGTCACCACAGTTGGCATGTCTACATTTTGTATATCCCAAACTCGAACTGTTCTGTCTGCAGAGCCAGATACAACCCGCCCACCATCAGGAGAGAAGGAGACTGAAAACACCGAATTATTGTGTCCTTGATAAGGGCCAGCAATGAGGACACCTGTGTGTGCATCCCATATGCACAATGTTTTGTCTTTGGACCCAGAGACAATGTGATCACCATCAGGTGAGAAAGCAACACAGCTGACCCCTTTGCTGTGTCCAGTGAATGGCCCAGCAACAAGGGTGCCCGTGCGTGCATCCCATACTCGGATTGTGTTGTCGTCGGAGCCTGACACAATCCGTTCCCCGTGAGGCGAGAAGGCAACAGAGCGAACAGGTCTGCTGTGTCCCTCAATTGTTATCTGAAGTCTTGGCCATTGAACACCCAACGAACTTTGGATGCCCACCTTTTGGACAAACCACCCTGAGAATTTTTGTGCTACTCTGGACTTTCGGGGTGCGAGAGGGACCGCTGAAAGATAAATGTGGGGCACACTGTGTGAAATGGCAGGTGCAAATGCGATCACAAACTTGACCGCATCAATTGAAAAATCTGCCAGTTTCTCATCATGGTTCTGCAAAATGAACTATCAGAATTTGAAGTCTTCAGAACAATATGTACAACTCACCTTGGCAAGCTTACCAACAACCGTAAGTGCATCTATTGAAACTGGGATTTCCTGCAGGAGACCGAGAACTTCGAGCCAGAAGAGGAATTTGGTATACATAAGAGTTTTAATGTCCGCAAGTATAGCCTTCTGCATGTCCGACGATTTGGAATCGGTGCTCTCATCGTCGAAATCAGTGTTCAGAAGATGGCTGGCCCAGAACAGGCTGGAGTAGGATAAATGGGGTGGTATATGAGTTGTGATGCCCTGAACATCACTATTGCGGATATGTGAGTCCTTGATCTGACAGATATTGAATCGAAGTCCTTCTGGTCCATTCAGAATGCGTAAGCACCCTTGTGCGAGCCGAGACTCCAAGCCAGTGACGTTCATACACCATGGTTTGCCACCTGAGCGCTCACTATCTGTAAGGTAATCGGCAAAGGAGGCATGGAGAACTCGAACGGTCTGCCCAGGAGCCCACTGTAAGACACATCCCAGCTTGGTAAAGATACGGTGTGAGGAGTGCTCTGGTCCCAAATTCAAGAGTGCATCCACAGTTGCATCGGTCATTGGGACCTTCCCAAGCACCACTGCAGATAAGGCAGCCTGAGCATCCTGTATGGAGGTTTGAGTATCTTCCTTGGTTGACCTCTCATTCCACAGTCCTGTGCTTTCGAGTGCTTTATCATACAGGGCATCGAGGTTCAAGCCCTTTTCCAATAAAGAAACAAGGGTCTTGTTTGGATTATAGGCATC